CCAAGCAGCACTAATGTCAGGCTTTGAAGTGACAGGGCTTCGGATCCTACCTTCAAAACTTCAAAGGGCCGAGGGCCAAGTTTAGGTCATGGCTCATTACCAAGAGCCGTGTGGCCCCTCCTGCAACAGCTTTGTGAAGAGGGCCCATCTCACAGGCGTTTGGCTAGGGGATGGGGTGCTTAAGCCTGAACTGGGGAGGAGGGACATCTCTTTGTTCTTCCACTTCAAGCTCCTGGGGTCCATCTTGACTGGCCATACACACCCTCTCAAATGCCCATTCATGGTTCTGTGTCTTGGGCTCAGTAGAGAGGCCAGCTCTGGGTGGAAAAAAGAAGTGGCTGTGATGGTAATTTCAGGGGTGTTCCCCCCCAAAAGCACCACCTTTGTGGGTCTTTGAGTCCCCTGCCCCCTCAGCAGTGGGGTTTCCATGGTGGCCTCAGCTGCCTCCCCATGGCCCTGGAAGGTCGCTGTCCACAGCACAGCCTACCCTCTAGGATAGATGGAGGGTGGTGTGGTGTGGGCATCTCTACCATCTCCACGTGGTTCCTATGTGGGGATGCCTCCATCCCTCCCTTGTGACTGTCCTGCACACCAGGCTCTCCTCCTATCCACATGGTTGCTCTTCTCAATTTCTCTCCACACTGATCTTTTAACAAAATCCTTTTTAACCTCTATTAGCCTCTATAGTCACCTACCAGGTCTCAGCCATTTCAATCATCTTTGCAATTACTATTTATTTGTGGCAACTAGCTCCAAGGCTATTTATTGTCTTACATTCCAAATGCTATTAATATTCCTTTGCGGCTATACAGCATTAATATAATGACTTTCAGCTTTATAGGCTCCCCAGAGAGGGGCTCAAGAGGGATATAGTTGACAAATGCAGCTTGTGGACTAGCATTCTCCCTGGGGGCCAGTATCCCCAGAGAGGATCCTTCCTTGCCCCTGAGGGAGCATGGCCCCGATGGGAGGTGGCTCCTGGGTTAGCAGGAGATGGCTGTTGTACCGGCCTTCTCAGGCTGCCATAACAACATGTCACAGACTGAGTGGCTTTAACAACATGAATTTATTTCTCATGGTTCTGGAGGCTGGAAGTCCAAGATCAAGGCACCAACAGGGTTAATGTCTGCTGAGGGCTCTCTCCTCAGGTTGCAGACAGCCACCTTCTACTCCCTGTGTCCTCACATGGCCTTTCCTCAGTGTTTGCAGGAGGAGTGAGAAGAAGTAAGTGCTCTGGTGTCTCTTCTTATAAAGGCGCTAATCCCATCACGAGGGCCCCACCCTCAGGACCTCATCTAAACCTCAGTATCTCCCACAGGCCCCATCTCCAAATGCCAACATATAGATTTAGGGGAGACACATGTCTGTCCATAGCAACTGTCAAGGAGTAAGGATGTCCACAGTTAGCCCTCGGCACCTAGGCCATGACAAGGCTGTGTTCAGGATTGCGGGGAAATCAGGAGAAAGGGGTGGCCCAGGCCAGTATGTAGCAGTTCACATTCTCCAGGAGGTCACAGGATTTACAAGTGAGGAGCCATGAAGGAAAACTCAGATCTAACCTGGGAGAGCCGGACTCATTTTGTCGGTGGTCAGAGAAGAGAGGGGTGACCAGGGGAGGACTTCTGGAGAACTGACTCTGTCTTCAGCCCATTGGTGGTCAGCAGGTCTTCTAGGCTGGGCTACACAATGTATGCAGAAGAGATAGGGCCTTTGGAAGCAGCTCCAGTGTCACAGTGGTGGTGGGACAAGATGGTGGGAGAAGGGTGGGATGGGCCCTGTGCTGCAGGGACCACAGCAGAGCTTTTGGAGTCTGTGCAGCCCAGTTGCTACCGCAGAGAACCAAGTACCCAAGAGGGTGTGGGCAGTGCAACTATTGTAGCTCCTGCTGGGTGTGGCGCCTTTCCCCAGTTCTGTTCCTATGGCAGGCCTGAGGGCCCTGTGCTTTCACACCTGGTGTCCAGGTGGCTACTTCGACCAAGTCCCTTCTTGGTCTCTTGGACCATGATTGTTGGGTCACCTGGCAAGGGCAATCAGGAGCCAGCTCTTCTCTGGAGCCAATAAGTACAGCCCGAGACAAGGTCATACACCATCACAGTAATCTATTTTATTGGCAAATCAGATTAATCAAATCATTCTTTCCAATTAATTGTGCTAGTTTCACACCTGTACAAGTAACAAGTGTGTCCTAGGGTTTTCCAGACTAGGAATACAAATAAGGTCACATTTATGGCCAAACAACATCTCCAAGCTTCCCCCTGGCTTTAGTAGCAGGAATTTCAGCCTTTTTCACACCTAAGTTCAAGGTTCTCCAACTCACTGGCTGCCACTTGCTGCAGGATTGGACACTCGGATGCATCTGCACCCTAACCCTAACTCTGACCCTGACCCTCTGCCTCTTCTTTGCCTGCAGGATCCAAGTGCTGATAGAGGACCAGGCTCAGGCCCAGAGTGTGGATGGTCTTACAGAGCAGTCCGGCCTGCAGTGCTGGGCCTGTGTCCACTCCCAAGGACCCTGATGAGTTTTCTGTGACTCACAGGACAAGGTGGGTCCCTGTGTGGAGGGAGAAAATGCTCCTCTCCTCCCCTCAGTGTGTTGGGATCGGTCAAATGGTCTCCAAGTTTCACCCACCAGTCCACAGTTGTCACATCAACCCGGGACTGCTGTACCCCTCCAAGGACCTACACCTTATAGTTACACCCTGTCTGTCACCTGACTGGGGCAGGGTCATACTGCCCACAACCCAAGGTTTTATGTTTATGAACATCACTGGGAATGGTGGGTGCTTAGGGCCCTGCTGTCCCATTTCTCTTAGGAAGCCTGTTTAGCCCTAAGCATGTTGGTAGATATAATTGCAGCTTGAAGGATGACACTCACCTCCACCGAGCAGGCTTTCAGCTCCCAGTGCAAAGAAAGAAATTGGAGGAGGGGTGGTCCCTCGCTCCACCCACTCATGGGCTCTGATCCTAGTCCAGCCCCCAAAGTCCTGCTGGATACAGCAGTCTGGCTTTCTAAGAGTAGCACAGGGGTGCCTTTGTCTAGGATGGCCATGGTACAGTGGGACGTGCAGGCAGCGGGAGGAGTGCCAGTGCTTGGGGCAGCTGGGCAGGACTCATTTCTGGGTCTGCAGAGCCCCTGACTCTGGTCGCTGGTCCCTGGAGGCCCAGTCTGAGGGGCGGGAGCCTCTGGTCCTGGGTGTGATTGATCCTCCATACCCATTTCCACCGCTTCATTGATACTTTCTTCATCACCCTTCCCTCCAGCCCCACAGAGTGCCACCTGACCACTGAGTCAGAGGCAGGGCAAAGCCGGGCTCCTGCCCTTCGATGGTTATCAATCAAGAGGGGACTGTCAGGCAGGAAGCAGCTCTGCCCTCCATCCTTCCTGCCCGCCGCCTCCCCCTCACAGAGCTCCATCTCATCAAGCATTGGGCAATTGCCCAACCTTGCCTCCTCCTCCTATCAGGGTTTTATCTAAATCACCCTCTTCCCCTCACATGGCCACCCCTCCCTTCCGTCCACTACTTGGTAGAAGCCTCCTGTCCCACAGGCGGCAGGTGGCTGCTCGTCTTCCAACAGACCTTCCCTTTGTCTCATTTGTTCCTTCTCGTCCTACTCATTCCATCTTGCAAAACCACCCCACAATTCATCCTGATAATTATTTGATTCTCCGGAGCAGCTGAGTCATCAGCTTTCAGCTGTCACTGCTGCTCTTCTCTGGATCATTAGAGGAGCCAAAGCCAAGCCGTGATTCAATTGTTTAGTTTCCAACCAGGAACTGCCAAGAGCCTTGTGCCCTCAAGATGGTTCCTCCATTCCTAGCTGACCCATTTTCTCCCTCCCAGCTACTTGAGAGGGACGGCTCTGTGGACAGTGCCACTATGGCCAGCTGCCTAGTCAGGACTCAGGTGGACAAGACAAACACATGTTCCTTATTCTCCTCTGGCTGAGCCAAATCAAGCCTGATTCTTCCTCATTGTTCACCAAGAAACTAAGTCTAATTAACAACTCCCCAATCTGTTCAAGATAGCAAGCTGGACACATTCAGGGACTTCCCCTCTCCCAGGCTTGTCTCCACTGCCTCTCCCAACCCCAGGCCAGTGATAAAACTCAATGCAGTGGATATGCCAGTGGCAATGTGGGAGGGGCTGTCCACTTCCAACCCTTGGCCTGTTTCCTTCCTTCCCCAGGTGTATCCTGTACCATCATGGCTCTCAGATGTCACCAACAGCTATCCACTCTGTCCCCACTGCTTCCACAAAGTGTCCACAGCTTCACCACAGCCTGGTCCACACTAGTACCCCCTCATTCTCCTGCAGCTTTCTGGTGGGCACGGAAAGGTTTAGATGGCTTTGCAGGCCTTTCAAAAGCCCATAGGAAACTTGTACGAGGCCACTCTCTTTGCATACTTGCTCTAGCCTGACCATCTCCACTTGCTGTCATCTCTGCAAGGTTGTTGGCCAACAGACCCCAGAAGAGACTGGAAAGTACAAGTCTGCTCTGCCTCAGGATCTCCAAACTAAAAAGGCACTTGATCCATCCCTACCACTCCATCTCTGCTCAGGACACCTCCCATCATGACCAACCTTCTTGATTCTCCTAACACCTCTTCCCTTCCAGAATCTTCTAGTCTAATAGAAGGATAGGGGAGAGTTGGGAACCAACCTCGTTCAGATGGTTGCATTTTCTTTCCCAATTCTTCTGCCTCAGGCTTTTTGGGCTGAGAAAGCAAGAATTCACCTGGTTCTTAGGTTCATCAGAAACCCCCAAAGACTGGGTGATTTATGTTGAGCTGTCTAGGTGTGGGGGGAAGGTCTGTGGGGGCATAATAAGCAAAGACAGCATTCAATGAGCATCTAAAGGGAAAGTGCAACAATCAATCAATGAACTACATATCATCCCAGCACATCAAAATCCGGGCACAAGATATCTACTACTGGAATTCAGGGCTGGGGTTTCCTTCCTCTGATCAGAGCTTTCTTCCCTTAGCTCCTGGTGGTCAGTCATGGTATCCTGGAGGACCAGGGGGCCTCAGGTAGGCCATGAGGCCCATGCAGAATTCTTCTTTTTTTTTTTAAGATTTGTATTGGGGAACTGGGGAGGGGAGCAGTGTTGGGGAATTGGGAAGGGAAACATTGTGTTTTCCAGGACCCATCAGCACCAAATAAAGTTGTTGTCCTTCAGTCTTAGTTGTGGAGGGTGCAAGTTCAGATCTAAGTCTAGTCACTGCTTTCAATCTAGTTGCGGGGGGCAGGAGGAGATGGGGGGACGTAGTCCACCATCCCATGCAGGAGTTGAACTGGAAACCTTGTTGCACACTGAGCCATCCAGCCACCAGTCTGGCCACTGGTCCAGCCGCCAGCAGCTTGCTGCTGTTCAGCTCAAGGTCCTGTGTTCCATCTTAGTTGCGGTGGGGGGCACAGCCCACCATCCCATATGGGTGTCGAACTGACAACCTTGCTGCTAAGAGCACATACTATCACCAGCTCAGTGGCAGCTCAGCTGGGGCGCAGCTCACTGGCCCATGTGGGAATCAAACTGGCGACTCTGTTGTTCAGAGATCGAGCTCTTAACCAACTGAGCCACTCGGCTGGCTGCCCCCATACGGAATTCTTTAATGACAAAGTAGTAGCAGAAAACATCCAGGCAGCAGTTGATGTTTGAGAAACACATCGACAACTGCAAGAACAAGCTGATGTTCCGCTTAGCACCGCACTCCACAATAAAGCCATTCCTCACCAAGAACTGCAAGAAGAAACCCAGGTGGACCGGAAGAAAGGAGGCCACAAAGACAACCAGATTGGATGCGATGGTCCAGATGCAGGCCCTGTGTTGGACCCAGTCCTGGGCGTGGTTCCGACGGCCAACCAGAATAAGAATGCTCCTGGAAGAGCAGAAACCCATGACACTCATGGGAAGAAGGAAGCCAAACACCAGGAGGGGGAAGATGACCTGAGCGCTCCAGGTGCCGTCGGACATATTGTGGAAGCACGTGTAATTTTCTACTTTCTCATGGAAGTTGTAGATGGGGGTACTGCCGACCAACACCAGGATCCAAATGGCACAACAGATTCCAAAGATCTTCCTGGGGGACCGGCAGTGCCTGACCAGTAATGGGTACCGGATGGCCAAGAATCTGTCCACGCTGATGACGCAGATCGTGAAGACGCTCCCATACATGCTAATGAAGTAGAGGCACTCCACCAAGGTACAGAGGGATGGGGCGGGGTTCTGCTCCTTGCTCAGGGCCATCTTGAATGGGAGGGAGAGCACCAACAGCAGGTCAAAGACTGCCAGGTTGATCATGCAGATGGAGGTGGCAGAATACTCCAACCACCTCTTCTTCAGGTAGGTGCAGAAGCCTCGAATGGCCAGGAGGTTGAGCAGTAGGCCCAGGAGGAAGGTGGGGATATGGATCGCCAGCTGCACGTTTCTTATCCGCTCTTCCATGTCACTGAAGGAGCAGCTCTCGTTTTTGTTTTGCTGGCTCATGTTCTTCCCTGCGTCAACCATAGAGTAGCTGAAGTTCCTCTCACTCTCTAGAAATGATTGATTCAAACAATTTTGTCAAAAATAATAAACACTTCCCTTTATCACACAGCAATTCATGCTCATTAAATAACAATTAGAAAACACAGGAAAGAAAAATTACCTTTAATCCTGCTGCCCAGATACAACCACTGTTACCTTTTTATGGGTATCATGCAGGCACTCTCTCTCTTTCCATACATACAAACGCGCACACACACACGCGCACACACACACATATACACACGCGCACACACACGTGCTTTTTCCTTTTATAAAAATGTGCATGAACGTCTATTCCTTTTTTCATTCAGGACTCCTTCTGTTAAAAGTAGTAACAATGACACAAACCCTGACTCAAGCTGGTTTAAGCAAAGAGAGAATTTCACATAATTGAAAACATGAAAACTAGAGCAGCACTGACTTGAGCTGCAGCTTGATATGGGATTCAAACGCCGTTTCCAGCCCCCCAGCTCCTCCGTATACGTTGTCCCTCTGCTCTCTCCTAACCCCCTTCCCGAAGGCTGGACAGAGCTGACCCCACCTGACTGTAGGGCTGGTCGCTGTCAGTGCATCCTATTGTCCTGGACACGGTCACTGGTTCCCTGGTTCAGGGATGGACGCATGAACCAGCCAGAGGCAATGAAAAGCAACAAAACTCTTGCTTGGGTTTCTTGGAAGGGGGCTGGGGCTTTTTCTGTGGGATTTTAAGTTGGGAAGATACAAGGTCTGGAGTTGCTACAGCCTCTTGCTACTCCAAGGAGAAAACCAGACAGAAAATGGAGAAATATGGAAGAAAGAGCATCCCCAAAGGGAATGAAGTGAGGGCTTCAGGACTGCACAGGGCAAAGAAAGGCCTTTAGAAAGGTAGAAAACTAGAACTGGCCTCAGGGACAAGAAGAACCAAGGCTGTAGATCTGGCTGCACAGGGGTGCTAGATGCCGGCAGACAAAGGGAGGAGCGTCACAAGTCAGGGCTTCGGATCAGGCCAAAGACAAGGCCCTGGCCAGGTCTTACTTCAGAGCCTGGCTAATTTGGAGTCTGGGGGCAGAGGTGGATCCCATTGTGGAGTTTTATATCAAGGTAGGTGGCTGCTATAATAGAGTACCATAAGCTGGGTGGCTTATAAACAACAGAAACTTATTTTTCACAGTTCTGGAGGTTGGAAGTTCAAGATCAGAGTGCACATGGTCAGGTGAGGGCTCTCTTCCAGGTTGCAGACTGCCAACTTCTCGCTGTGTCCTCACACGGCAGAAAGAAGGCGAGCGAGCTCTCTGGGGTCTCTTCTAAGGGCACTAATCCCATGTATGAGGGCTCCACCTTCATGACCTCATCACTTCCCAAAGCTCCCACCTTCTAATACCATTACGTTGGGGGTTAGGGTTTCAACATGTGATTGAAAAAGTATTCCATGCACTCAATTAGATATTCAAACAGTACAAAAAAACAGGCATGACAGTAGCCTCCATCATAGCCCAGGGCCTCTGTTGTCCTTTCTAGAAGCCACCGCAGTTAACAGTTTCTGCATACTTTTATGAGAAATTTTCCATGTATGTGTGAGTGTGTGTGTGTGTGTGTGTGTGTGTGTGTGTACACATGCATATATACATACCGAGGGTGCCAAAAAAAATGTATACACATTTTAAGAAAGGAAAACTGTATTAAAATTGTAATACTCGGGCCAGCCGTGTGGCGCAATGGTTAAGAACTGGTTTGGGATGCCAGAGGGCCCCGGTTTGGATCCCACATATGAGGGCCAGTGACACTGCCCTCCACAGCTAAGATGCTGAACAACAGCTCAACCTGGAGCTGG